TAGTCGACGGATATCTTCTACTCGCAAATTCAGGGTCTCACAACCATAAATCAGGGCTGAACGAACGCTAGCACAATATTCACGACCTTTCAACTTCAGTGAAACGTCGCGTCTGCGCCAAAGGTGTTTCATTTCTGCGTATGCTGCTCGAGCCTTGGAAATGCGGGCGGTTATCTCCTTTGCTACACTACCGTCATTGGTCACACAACTACCTAAGTAGGAAAAGTAATCCACCACAACTAAATCCTGGCCATCTAGTGTCAGAGTAGGAGTAGACGAAACCCAGTCCTGCAGCAGCACTTGGCACTTTGAATGTGCAAAGCACACACCGAATGTGGTTACTGCACTTGTTAATCTATCAAGTGCACTTTGCGCGTCCTCCGTACATTCGAACAGAGACGATATCATCGGCGTACTCCAAATCGCATAGCTTCTGCTTCTGCTTTCGTTGGAGGATCGCATGACACTGCCCACAGAGCTTCAGTCGGAGATAAAGCAGCCTGGTTAGCACTAGGCCAGCTGAACTGTTCGTTGAAGTACTGTGCCCAGCGATCGAGTCGTTGATCCCTATTGTGAATAGCTCGTCCCCTCTTATCGCAGACTGTTTCACTAACTGGGGTTCGCCGACCTCCCGTGTTGCGTATCAGTCGGAACAGTCTTTGGCTATTCCTTGATGCAGCTGTGATTTCCATTTCACTAGCTATTGTATCGTGGTTCAGTACAAAATTGCAGATCCTATTGGACTACCTGCGTTGAGTCGGATCATGACTGGTTCTGATGCGCTTCACTCTCATCGGTCATCGGCATAAGATGCCTCCTCAACTAGCTCATTGTCGTCTGCGCGATCCCTCTACGCACATTGTGAGGAGAAGCTGGGATAGGAGCTGAGAAAACCGCAACATAGTGGAGTAGACCAACAGTGGAATCAGATTAGATCTGCGATGCACTCAGCAGACAACTTTGCTTGTGGGACCGAGCCCGAAGTTCGCCGAAGTCACTGGATCTCTCAGGAGTCAGTAATCCTGAGGGATCGGTGGCGCCTGAAACGTCATATCAGGAAAAGCCGTGAGAAAGATCACGAAAATGGGTGGGCCCACATAGCTAGTGAGATGGAGGTAGCTTCTGCATTAGGGAATAGTCAAAGACTGTTTCACTTGATACTCAGCACCGGAGGTCTTCGCATACCGGTAATTGAGACCATTTGCGGTAAACGTGGATAAAATATCCACAATAAAAACGAACGACTTGATCACTGTGCAGAGTATTTTAGTGAACAGTTCAATTGGCCTAGTGCTAATGCGATCATTCCAGCATTGCGGCGGAAACCCCATGGGTAGTAACATGTAACCTCCAACAGAATTAGAAGTACGAAGCTGTACTCAATCAATAAAGAAAGGAAAAGTAGCCGGACCTGATGGGCTTCTCCCTATTCTTTTTAAGGTGGGCGGCAATTCTCTCGTCGACTCGATCACTGGCATTTAGTCGGAGGAGCTTATCCCTTCTTCCTGGGGTGAATCGTTGATCGTCCCGATCGTCAAGAAGGTATCACGCAAACCACCGCCGGATTAGTTGAGTTCCAATAATCACAAAAGTGTTGACTTCTATGATACGTCGCCGCCTGACACCCTTAAGAGAGATGAATATCCGCGAACAACAGGCTGGATTCCAACCAGGTCGCGGTTGCGTCGACCAAGTCTTCACTCTGCGTCAAGTCCTCGAACTGCGCCACACACATCGTCGGCCAATAATCGCAGTGTTCCTTGACCTAAAAGGAGCCTTCAATTCAGTTGACTGTGAAGCTCTTCCAGAGTCGCTGCTCCGCAAAGGAATGTCGCGGAAGTATGTAAACCCATTGTGGTCACTGTACCTGCATACTTCTATTAGCGTAAGAGTCTACGGTGGGCTAAGTAAACCATTCGAAGCCAGTAGTGGTGTTCATTAATGGTGCCCTATTTCTTCATTTCTGTTCAATTTCGTAGTAGACGAAATACTGACGAACGCACTCAGTAGTCTCCAAAACGTAGTTATTGAATGGGCAGCTGGAGAAAAGTTGTGCTATTCAGAGTACGCTGTCGACATCGTATGCCTGTTCAAATGTAAGGAGGATGTCCAAAGCGCTCTGGACAAACTTTCAAGTTCAGTAACTCCTTTTGGCTTGCGCTTTACACCTTCAAAGTGCAGTGATAGCACAAGACTGGGTATCGTCTACCCCAGCGCTGATGATTGATGGTCAAGAATTAGCTGCAATGGAATGTTTCACCTACTTAGGTATCTGCGTTACAAATGATGGTAGTATAGTCAATGAACCAACCGTCCGCATATCCAAGGATCGAGTAGCTTACGCAGGACTGAAACACCTTTGGTGCAGACCCGACGTTTCAATGAAGTTGAAAGGTCGTGTATATTACGCTAGCTTGAAAAGGTATGTATGCGCACTTGGACTTTGTACTCTGTTTGTCGACCATAGAGGTTCACTTTCTTTTTCTCCCTTCAGTTAGGCCCCATCCCTCTCGATCTTGAGCTTTATCATTTGATTTGTGTACATTGTGAGTTTGGCAGCGATCAGTGAAGTTCGCTTCACTGTATCTCGCTGTACGATGATGATGATGATGATGATATCTGTGCCGGAGAGATTACGCCGAGTGGTGAGGTGAAGCTTGGGCTATCTGAAGTTCTTGCTAACGTGTCCTAAGCGGGCGACAGACGGCCAACGGGTACGTTTAGGTCTCCGGCCAGAATCACGATATCCATCTTATGTGATATGAAGAGAAGCTCATGTAAGTGGTGATAGAAGGTATCTTTGATTCTTTCCGGGCTAAAACATGTGGGAGCGAATGCAGAAACCACAAATGAGCACCGTCCATTTGGTATCTGCTTTTTGACTCTACTTGAGCCTCTGAATCCTGCTGCGCATAGTCGGCTATCTATCGAGATCAATTCCAATAGATTAGCCTCGGCCCTAACACTTAAGGCGAAACCAACGCCTGCTTGAACAAACAATGGTGCGATATGGACCCCAGAAACGCGCAGTCAAACTAAAGGATTGATAAATCCAAAATCTTNAAAATCTTTCACTTATCCTCATTTAATGTACACAAGCTTACAAATGCCTCTGTTCTCACTTGTCGATCTGAGGTATCTTTTATGCTGTAATGACATCCAATTGTTTGTGAAGGGTCTAGTATAGCAGCAGTTCAGTGCTGTCATATGATGTAGAACCATCCGTTACTGGCATAGGGTAAAAAGAGACTTCTGATGTTTGAACATCACTGGCCACGCAGCCTTACACGATTCTGGTGGGGCAACGAGACGAGCAATGCTAAGGTTAATCCCAGAGTTCTGAGTAATCGTTAACTCCAACTGGATTAAGTGCCTAACCTCCATGGATGACATGGTTTGACGGTTTAAAACCCTATTTACATCGGTCGTGTTAGGCTACCCCATTGGGGGACCTTGTGGTAGGCGTAACCTATTGTTGGAGACACCGAATGATATGACTGAGTGTCGCAGACAGTGGCCCCCATGCGCCTTTTTAATGTATTTGTGACCTTGGTCTATTAGAATTCCCCACTTTGACACAGTGTACATCATTCCTTCTATTTTTCTTTCAAAGTAAACTGCCAGAAGACAGTAACCGAAACCGCCGCACGAACGTGCGTGGTTAATGGTTGTACGAACTGAAACTGGAGGCTACCTTCATAAGTTAGAGCATTTCTTACAATTACAAGTCACAAGCGCTACTCATTCTTTCGGTTTCTATTATGATTCGTAACAACATCACACTTTCAGGTTTCGGTTGCAGCATCTTTGTTTTCAAAACATCTGCCGGTTGGTCAAGTGGTTTCCAGATTGTCTATCTCTTGATTGTTTTGCACACTCAGGATCTACATGATCATTCCGTTGTTCTCGTTGCTTGTTCTGGCACATGCATGCGCCTCGATTCCGGCGGAGCTAGACAAAGATTATTTAGGTACAGTTACGGTGGACGATCCAGAAGAGTATACATTCATTTTGAATGACACCTCCGTACAAGTGGGTATCCTATTTGTGTACTTCAAATGCAGGAATATGTGATACGTGTGCATGTGTTAAATAGCGAGCCTCAAAAGAACTCCCCTCTTCTTATTGTCATCAAACAACCACAACATATCCTTTCCTTTGAGGTTCCCATAGTAATAAACGAGATGTAAGCGTAGATTTGATTGATCTAGACCAATATTCTCATATCGACCGCTCATTTATATAGAATCAGTTACTCGAATGTGAGCCGCACCTTGTGCCCGATACGGACTACGCCTGAAGAACCACTGGCGTTGATAATTAGCATCTCCAGTTTTAACTCGACACCGTTGCCGTACGTAGTTCGAGCCGAGTGGGTGCAGGATTTCGACCTGAGGTCAGTTTATAATGTCAAATTCAAACGCTAATTGTCGGTCTTTGGCACAAACAGGATGGATGAAACACGTGAACTCGTGGTGTACCCAGCCCAACCATTGTTGCTACGATATCACTTCAAGGCTGATGGCGAGTCCGTAGCGGTTCGGATTTCTTCGAATGATGACGTTTGCATGACGTTTTCGTTGCAACCATTGCAGGTATGTGCGAGCTCACCTACTCCAACTTAATTCTCATTTTAGTGTCCTTTAGAATCAGGATTGCGTTTTGGACGTGAGCGAGGTCCATATCAAACGGTGACAAGTTTGGGGGTGATAACCATGAATGTAATGTGATTGACGTATATTTGTCAAACATAATCTTGTAACCATGTCTTGTCTCCGATAGGAGCTGCAATATGAAGATGGATTTTTCGTTCTGTTGACTCTGGAAGCTACCGACTATCTTTGTAAGGGAATGGAAAAATTAATACCACCACCAAGTAAGTTGGGTTTACATTTTCACACTCAATACTGGAAAAGCACGGTTCATTTAAACATTCGGGCCAATCCACCTAAGCCTATCTTTTCCTTATGTTGTTGGAAAATCATATTCGTTAACAGTAATCGGTTTCTGTTCTAACTTTTCTAGTATTATCACGGCGAAACTGCACCGTGACGTGGTGTGATGGCTTTTGCACCTCTGTGCCCCAACGAGCTACACAGGTTATCTTCTATTACGCCAGGAAATCTTATCACGCCTGGAGGGTTAGAGGGTAGAGGTCAGACAAGGTTCAGTCTCCTGGTCCTTCAGGTTGGGGGCTCGATTCGGGTTAGCTTCCCATTCCGTATAATGGTGGAGGGGTAATCGATCCAATTAAATGGGCCTCCACTTCGGTTTACCCGCTTCCTTGCGGTCAGTTTTTTGTTAGAACCCTAATNTTTTCCTACTTGGTGGCTGAACACCCCAACAGTACCCGTGCACCAAACACTAATGCGAATCAGTAAAGTTTGCCTTACTGTATTCCGCTGTACGAGTATCATAGACCCTGCTTGGTGTGTGAAGACCTCTGTGCAACTGGAATCCTTTCCGCATGCATTGCCTACCGACAATGAACGGCAAACCACAATGAAAGCCTCACATGGTCAACCATTCAACTGAACCAGAGACGTGTGAAGATGCCCGTTAACGTAGATGTAAGTCTTTTTCACGAATCAACCGGACTCCGTCGGATGAAATTTACGGCCGAGTTAACTTTTCAAACTTTCTTTTCCCTTTACCTCTTTTATTGAATATGCAAGGGTGCAATTTTCAGGAAGGGAAAACGACCAACCAAAGGGCGGGATTAGAATACATTGCCGGGGTGATAATTTGGTGACGTTACCGCCGGGTCACCCCCACCAGTTTTTTTGCTCTGGGAGGTGCATGGATTTCATGTAATGGTGTCCTCTTCAACCCCACAGTGCGCTGTCTATCGTATTTTCAGCTTGTTTTGAGTTCATTTTACACCAGATAATTGTTTGGTATTGGTGATCTCAATTTGCTTCAAAAAGATCATATGCATGAAGGGAGTGGAATTCATTTTCCACGAGGAATTCTGTTTAGTGATGATACAGAGCATGAAGCATATACTTGACCTAATTGAACTAGGTTGGTAGTTTTACATTTCATAGCAAAAGAGGAAAAAAGTTTAATCTTGGTCACCCTCTGTTGTTTTTTAACAAAAAAGTATTCATATACTGCCGTTTCATAGACTACCTGGGTGCACTTGGTCAGTTTGTAGGGGAATCACAAAACATGTAAATGCAGAGACACCAGGGAATTTTTGTGGAAAGTAAAATGTGCAAAGCAGAGAGATACGAAGCCACTCTGATGTTCTTACGGTTGATTGATGACTGGTTAATATTCCGATACCAGCGTCGGACATGATGATGGAAGCTAAATCCGCTACATGATCAGAACGACAAACAATGAATGCTAAAATTCCATGTTGCACTCCAATCCACCAACGGGCGGTTGAATTTAGGACTGTTTGCAAAGGAACTCAAGACCACCAACAGTGCCTGGTGCCTGTGAAAAAATTAAATGTATTATTCCAAATTTGCTACTCTTAAATGCCTAAACCGTTCGCACAATGTGGTGACCGTCGACCGTGTAGCTCAGGGGTAAGTGTTTGAAGTCCTGACCTGAATGTTCGTGGTTCCAGTCCTGACAGGGACACAAAAGTATGCGTTGTTGATGAGTCCCGAACAGGACAAAGCTGTTCAGTGCTCTTTGTCGGTCATCACAAATCTTTCCATCGCTTATTAACTCTAGTTCATTCTGGGTGATTCAATAGGACTTTAAGTTCGTCAACATTTACGAATTTCAATGCAATACTTTGTCCGTAGCTATCAAAGGAAAGGAAACTCTGTTAAGTGGCATTTGAGACAACTTATTGCCAAGCCGGAACAGATTGAAACAAGTTATTTTATCATGCTCAATGAGGTTACTGTTTCTGTTTCTGATTCTCGAAACAATCCATTGTTTGTTTTTGGAGTTTGAGTTTGATGAATACCCAAAAGTGATCACGTTTAAATTCCTTGGTCGGGAATATCTGAATTTCTTCCCAGAAAGAAATGGTTTTAGACCGAAAACCTGTACTGTACAGGACAGTGTCGACTCCCCTTGAAATATGGCTACGCAGGTAACAATCAAGTAACTGATCCATTTGCCATTTTCCTTCTCAATAATGCACCGCTACACATAAAATCGGTGGTCGTACAAAATGCCCAAAAATGGAATTCACCTTGCTCTCTCTATATCACAGGTTTGTGATTATAAGCATGAGCACAATAATCAACAGTCATTGGAATACCCAAGTTTCACCCGGTTTGACAGGGTTGTCAATTAGCTTAGGTACTTGTGGCGTCACTTGCAATGAAAAAGCTAATCAATGCAGCATGCAAATTTCCGATCGGAGAACAAGATACTTTAATTCATTTGATTTGCGTTGATATTCTTTGTTTCATGCTATCACAGGCCAGAACTATCGATGCCAAAAGAAATTGGCGAATTGGTTGCATTATTGTGACTTCCACACGTCATTATTCCGGCCGTAGAAAGTGCAGAATGACATGAGCGCCATCCACCTTGCGTCCAAGCTTCTCATGCCATCATCTTGCCTCCTCTTCTAGCAGGACTGACTGTTCATTCCGATTTACCGTTTAAATGGCAGCTACTTGGTGGAACAATAGAACTTACCTATTTCTCTACACCCGAGTCGTTTCAACTTAATGCCGGTTTTCACCTTTTCTGTTGCTTTTTATCACACAGTGCTAACTTACAAACGGGTTGAGCCAAACAGAAGAACAAAGAACGTGAAGCTGTCATTGCAACCGACACCGAATCGTAAGTGTTTTCTCTCTCATACACAAAAAAATGAGACCGATTCTCATGTTTGCCCCAGCTAATCAAGCATTAGCCTTCAAGCGGAATGATAAATTCTCCCTAAGAGTTTGGTGTGTTGATTCTGGTTGATGGCACGAGGCAACAACCGTATCAGTATGTTGGTCTGCGATGCTGACAACAATATCAAATTTCAGCAACACATGCTATTGTCCACGTTATTATTGGTAATAATATGTTTTCACTTTGAGATCTATCATTCCATGATCATTTTCTGAAGGTGATGAATAACACCAAACCTCGGGCTGGCCACTACCGATAGTTGTGAGCTGATAAAACATATGATGAAACCCTGAACTTCATGGCGGGGGGTCTTCTTTATTCATATAACGGTCCCTGGCTAATAATGAGTATCATGATATACATCTTTCTAGATTATGCGTACCAGTACCTGGTTTAAGCAGACCCGTCTGAAATCTGAAAAGCCGAATACACCCCTGGTAATAATGGTGCATCTCTGTTTTAAGACACCCGGCAATTATAATACCTTATTCGAGCCGTCAGTCGAAGATGATTAGGTGTCAGTAATTTACCGATGATGCAAATGGTCAACCTATCTCTGTCCAACGCAGGCGTTTCAAACTCTGGGGAGAGTACTTGGAAGCGCCATATCCGCGACCATTTATTCCAGCGGTTTGTACGGTTGCGTCCCGTTGGTTGTCTCATCAGAACTACTTCCAGAAGAGGTGAACCAATCTGAGATGCCACGAGCAACACTCTAACGGTCTTTCTGCAACATTTGTCGAAAGGGGCGAATTCGATTGATATACCGGTGTTTATTCTCATCTTCAAGAAATACTTCCACAACGATTGTTCGACCAACAGAGGTTTTGGGTCTAGTTCCTCAAACGCTTAAACTTCTGTTGACCGTAGTACTCTGAAGGTTAACTAAAACATGTAAAGTGTTAACTCAAGAAGATCAAACTTAGTTTCCCCCCGATCGCGGATTGATTGAATGTATCCTTATTCATTTCGAGGGTAACCTATCACAGTCACTTAATATAATCTGGAGTGGGTTTCCCCGGGCTTCTGGAAACAAAACCTTATACTTGAACTATGCCGATCAAATTGGTTTACTCGGTTGCAATGCACCCTCTCAACCGTTTGACATTTTGGGTTGCTCGGCATGGAATTCTTTGCACCTTCAAAGCAAGATGCTGCTCCAAGATTGGTAGTAGTTGTGACTTGTTGGGTAATGACGCCCTGGAATTATTTACGAACTTCGTGTATCTTGGGCGTTGTATGACGACTGATGCAAATGTTAATGAAGAGGTCTCTCAACGTGTCATTCAAACATAATTAGCTTTAGCTGATCTGCGATATTTCTGGCGGTTGCGCGACATCCTTTTCATTGAAAGGGCCTTTGCATAGCGCAAGGGTACAAACTGTGTTACCCTGAACCTGCAGAAATTGGCTTCTCCGAGCAGATCATGATTAATAACCGTCCGCGTATAGTGTGTGAATCACGTAATTAACTATGAGATCAAATGATGTTTGTTAGGCGCCAAATATTCTTCCGTCACTCAGAGCCATTTACTGCACCGTCTGAGGTAACTGGGGGCACGTCCTACGAATGCCTTGGCGACATCTTCCCTACTGTACGTTATCTGCTGACGTTAGATTAGATTACAAGAAACAGGTGAGCGGGGCATGTTGTGTTAGGAGTTGAAGAAACTGTGCATATTTGGCTTCCAGGCCGGGGCCAGAAGATACAGGTTGTTTTTAGCTGGAAATACTAAGGGCTATAGCGTTGGATCGAGGCTAACTGCGTGAACATATTTTTACATATTTACAGCTGACAAAATAAAAAGATAAAAAAGCGTTCGATATTGGGTGCAATAAGCGATAAATGTTTTTTTATCCCCCACCCGAAACAGATGGGTTTTTGTTCTGTTCCTATTGTTTTTTCAACCCATGGTTATTTGGGCGCCATATCTGTAAACGTTGCTATGATTGTATAGGGTACCCGGTAAGAGTAGAACCTCTGACTGGGAGGGCTGTCGGTCCCTTTGGGGCATCCTCCGATCTTTGGTCTCCACCGGTAGCTCAGCTCTCACTGGTCTGGATTCAACAGAAGTCACACCTTAGTAAATGTCTCGACAGGCAGGCCAAACCAGGTTGAGGGTAACCGGGAGCTCAACTCCCGGCGAGTCCGTGTCTAACGTACGCGTTGGGCGGACGAATTCGCTTTCACG